CCGCCCCTGCGGCTGCGGCGGCCGCCACTGCTGTGTCATCGCCGCTCCCCTGCTGCGACCGCCGCCGCCCGCGGGTCACGCGGTGCTGCTGTTCCTGCTGGCGCTCCTGCTGCTGCTGCTGCTGCTGCTGCTGCTGCTGCTGCTCCCCCAGCCCCTCCTCGTCCAACTGGGGCAGTGTGTGATGCCGATGTGCGTGGGTGACCCTCGCGGCGGAGGGCGTCGGCGTCGGTGCAGCCGCCAACTCTGCTGCAGGGGCGCCGGCGCTGATGCCGGTGGCTTCCTCTGTGTCCGACGCTGTGGCGCGCACACGCCGGATGGGTTCACGCTGCTGCTGCTGCTGCTGCTGCTGCTGCTGCTGCTGCTGCTGCTGCTGGTTTTTGGGAGCCTCCTCTGCACACGGCGTGTCAGAGATTCGTAAAAAGCAAACAGAACAGGTTTGGTGAATGGGGGTTGGGTGCCGAGGCAAGTACATGCACAGTTGAGTCAATAACCTTACGCGATGCAACACTCCTGATTGCTTTGAAAACCGCCTTGAAGCTTGAGTGTTACCTTCAGGCTGCGCTGCGCCCGCTCTGGGGCTTTCAGGGATGGGCTCCAGCTCGTGCGGCGTCTGCGCTGCGGCCGCCGCTGCCCGCGTCCGCGAACGACCGCGCGGCGTCGTTGGCTCCTCCTTCGCGGGCGCCGCATGGCGTCCTACCCGCCTTGACATCACCTCTGCTTGGTTGCCCTCTGCTTCCAGCACGTCCTGCGAGCCGCTCTTAGCGGAAGTGGTGGCCTCGCCTGGCTGGGACACCCGGTCCCTGGAGCGCGTGGATACCATTGTTATCCCTCCTGCTTACGGCTGTACTATTGATCCCGGCTGTGCGATCTAAGTCTAATTGCGGACTTCTGGGTCAGCGGCTGCCATTTAGACAAATTCATGGGGGAATGTAGAACGAGGACCAACAAGACGACGATGGCCTTGCACATGTCACAACGGCCCTGATGTCTTGCCTTAGTAGCGGTGTGTCACTCAGTCACCTGCCGCCGGCAGCCCACACAAAATGCTGGCTTCACAGGAGAGCACATATGATGTTGCCTAGAGCTGGTGCACGCGTGTAAGAATATACAGCAAGCATGCGTGCGTCGCTGCCAAGCTGCCATGTTGAGCAATTGTGTGCAGCGTCGACAGCAGAGCATCGGCTGGCCAACCCACATGGCCCTGTGCAAGATGCCTGCTGTCTGGCTTGCGTTACCGGTAACGTTCACAGTCTTTGTGATCAACATGCAGACGCAACACAAGTTCCCAAGCAGTGCAACTGGAGGTGGCTACGGCGCCTTAGAGCGGCGCCTTGGTGCAAGTGCTTGTGCTAGGCGGCGGCCGGCAGCAGGCAAAAACTGCACCCCAAAAGCCGCGACATTCGCAGTTGAGCGATCATGCAACAGCACACGGGCCAAAACACATGGCAGCTGCTGCGCGCGGCGCTTGGTGGGCCCGACGGTGGCGCGCGGCAGGGCGGAGCGCGCCTGTTTGTGCTGGACAAGACGCGTGTATGCAAGCCCATTGGCCTTCTGAGGCGAGCTCCCATCAACGCCTGACAGAGGGCCTGCACTGCAAATCCTGGCCTATGGAGGGAACCACCGCTCGTCTATGGAGGAAACCACCGCGATCACGCGTCGGGCTTGAAGGCCTGGCGGATGTTGTCCTGGTTGTCCTCCCTCTCATAGAAGGCCTTGACCTGGTCGTGGAGATAGGGTTATGAGTGTCGGGGGGTGATTTTAGGGCGCATGCTTCACAAAGAGGCTTCGCATGGTTTTCAGGGTCTTGGAGGGATGGCGCCAGGCAAAAAAATTGGGGGTGAGAAGGCGCACGATGTCGGTCCCATCGACCCGATCCCTGGCGCACAGACGCTCGCGCCTCGTCACTCCCGCCCAGAGCTCCGTCCCGCCTGTGCCGGAGAAGGAGCATCGCACACTGGGCCCCTGCCCCTCCATGCTGGCCCCTGGCTCCGGCCCATTTTGCCCGCAGGCATGCAGGTGCGCCTCACCCTTGGGTCGCTGGCCACCCTGTTGCGGTAGGCCTTGAGGGCGGGGAAGTCGTTCAGCAGCGTCTTGGGCACGCCTGCCATTTGGATAAACGCGACAAGAGGAGAGGTCCGCTTGCGTTCGCATGGGGAAGAGTCGGCAGACACAATCACACCAAATCTGATGTGATTGTCCGAGACACCAATGCAGGCATGCAGGCCTGGGATGCCATGCGGTTGGCGCGGGTTTGCAAAGCCCTGGCAGCCCTACCGTCCAGCCAGCCGCTAATGAGGGCGCTCAGGGTGACAAACAGGTTCAGGTCGCCATGAGTGATCTCGGGGCCGGTCACAAAGCCGTCGCCGGCCTTGTCCTGCGGGAAACAAATCGCGAAAGGGACGGCCAGGTCGGACGAGGCAACCGTTGAAGTGTGGCACAGGTTGTGGTGTGGGCCCCACACAAACGCACACGCGCGCGCACACAAACGCCCGCCCATGCAGACACACGTGACCACATGCCCGCGTGCAAAGGCGCGCGCGCGCGCGTGCGTGTGTGTGTGAACGGTGGCTGCTGACCAGGGCGCACCCTGCTGTAGTGCCCCGGACCCCCGTGCAAACGCGCGCATGGCTCTCACCACCAGAGCATCAGCCAGTGCCAGCCTGTCCTTCAGGGGCCCCGCCGCGGCCGCCTCGCGCGCCTTGATCTTCTCATCCGCATCCTGAGGAAAGCAGAGCAAGGGAGAGCGAGTCGGCCGCCTGCAATCTGCACCCGGCTGCTGTATCTGGCGGTTGCTGCCGGCGCAGCCGCTGCTAGCGCCGCCTGCGGCGGGGCTGACAGCGCGCGATGCCACAGCGTCCCCAGGTCGCGCGGCCGCGGCGCCGCCGCCCGCGTTGTGCTGCGGGGGGGCGCAGCTCAGGGCGCACGCAAACACCCGCTGCCTCCGCGGCCGCGCGTTGGGAAGGGGACCGCGCACCTTGATCTTAAAGGTGTCGAAGAGGGTCTGCATGATGTCGTGGCAGAGGGCGTCTGGGGGTGTGCAACGGATGGGGAAAGGGGGCGAGACAGGCAGCGTAGTCGGTGGGTCGGCTGTCGTCCGAGGTGACATCCACAGTGGGCTCCTCTGGCGGCCGAGGGCCGGCGGCGGCCGCAGGCAGCGCGCGTCAGCACAGCAGGGCGAGACCACGAGGCTGTGCGGGCCCCGACGCCGTGCGTGCGGCAGCCGCGGCGCCCGGGATGCTGCAGGGGTTTGAAACTCGCGTTTGCGTCACTCACAGGCCTGGTCTGCGAGTGCGGCCTGGAAGGCGTCCTTGGGCACCAGGCCGGCCTCCGCGGCCAGGTAGCGGTCTGGGGGTGGTGGAGGGGTGGACGTTGAACGCAGGGGTCGCGGGGTGGTGGCGGTGCGTGTGGGAGAGTGTGACGAGGGCCGCTTACATATGAGAAGCGGGGCATGCAGGAATGCAGGACAGGCAGGCGGCTGGGGCCGCGCGGGGAGGGGCTCGGCCCAGGGACGAGCCGCGCCGATCCAGGGCAGGCCGGGCAGCCGGCGCTGGAGGCACGAGCAGTGGAGGGCGCGATGGTCGCCGGACGCCGCGGCGGCTTCGGGCGCGGCGCGGCGACCGTGCGCCCGGCGGAAATGCCAGGCCGCAGCGGCACCAGCAGCCGGCGCTGCTGCATGCGGCCCAACCAGCAGCGCAGCCGCCAGGTCAGCGCAGGTCGGCGCCGCGCACCGATGGCGGCGCTCTGAGCCACGAATTTGCCGTCCACCTCCAGGAAGGGCGCCTGGCCAAAGGGCGCGATGGCCTTCAGCTTGGGCCACTCCTCGCCCTTGAAGCGCACATCCTATGGCAACATGAGATCAGAGTAGTTGGGGTTGCAGGGGGCAGAGGTGGCGAGCGATGCCTGCTTGGTTTTTAGTTTTTCAACAATCGGTAGGAAATTGGAGCCTCTTTTAAACCCTGGGCGCGACCGGCGCCAGCAGCGACGGCGCGGGCGACGCTGCGCCCGATATGCGGCGCTCGCCCAGCAGCTGCATGCGTCTGCGGCAAGTTGCAGGCGGTCGGGGCGGGGCCGCTGGGCGGCGGGTTTGGGGGGTCCGGGGATGCGCGGCTGCTGGTGACACCCACGCGCGCCGCCTCACCTCAAGGTCGAGGCCGCCAAGGGCGCCGCACAGGCGCGCGACCTCGGCCCTGCCTGCGGTTGCGTAACAAGGCAGGATACGGCCTGAGTTCCGCTGCGGTTGGTGCTTGGGGGATGCGCGGGGTCGGGCAGCGAACCTGGTCTCGCAGACTGGACTGCATGCCATATCCATCGTCCTGCGTTCTCCTTAAGCTGTGAGTGGCGGCGGCTGGGTTGCCTGCGTTTTGGAGTGCTTACCGGGCAGAGGGAAGTAGTAGAGCTTGTAGGTCGGCATGGCGGCGGCTGGAGTGGAGGCCTGCAATGCAGGGGTGAGGACGTGCACAGGGTGGGGGTGTCCTATGGTGACATCACTTTGCTGGGACGCGTGGGGCGCGGGTAGGGGCTGTTTCATCAAGTTAGTTCAGCCTTGAGTTACAAGTCAAGGTGGGGATGAGCCGCACACCTGTCCAGCGCGTGCACAGACGCTCGGCATCAGGAGGGGGCAGAGCGCGAATGCTCCAGGCCGAGCAGTACGCACCCCACCCAGCGCATTGAAGCCTGCGCGCTGAGGGCGCTGGCAAACGAAGGAGACACGCATCTGAGCAGTGTGATCAGGGGTTCAAGCACTCACGATTAGGGGTGGGCGATCAGTGCGCACTCGACTCAGGTGATCTGCACTATTGTTCCAGCTCGTACGCGTTAGACTTACGTTGCAGGGATATCGGCTGACCTATGATACTATCAAAGCCAACGAATCAAGGTCCCCTATGTAGCATTGATGGACAAGTTGCAGCATGATGATGACGAACGCACTTACGGGACACTCCAGAAGCATCCCTGCTGGATGGTGCCGCGCCCTGCGGCGTATATAAAGACCGATTGATTCAGACGACATATTCTGCATGCATCCGTCCTGGTTGCTGCGTCGCTGCGATGCAGATGGTCCTGATCGCAACATTGTGATATCAGGACCAGTGGTATGTCCCAACGCAAACTGCCACTGCAGCGGGCAGATGCAAGGGCGGCAGGAACCGCCATGAGATGCGCCTCCCGCCATTCACCTGCTCTTTGGCGTTGGCTGCGGCGTTGCAGAGAGGGACAAGGGGCTTTAGGCATGCCATACAAGTAGTCGCCAACCACCCCAGCTGTGTGCCCATGGTTTTGCTGTCCAACTTCCACCACCATGGCAGCCCTGAACACGCTCGATGATGATAGTCTCAAGCATCAGGTGCCGAGGGCTGCGGCCTGGCTTGGGTGCAGTCACAGAACTCACTGCGGGCAAGCTTGCAATTAGAGGTTAGGTGTCTGCCTGTCATTTTTCGCGAGGCAGGTGCTTGCCTGTTGTGCTGCCAGTAAGCCAGTATTTTGTATACGCATGACGTGCCATCAAGCAAGGGCTGCATGTCGGCTGAGAATTTTGACAGTTATTGAAACGAGTTACAAGCTCTGGACAAGCGACATCACGAAATTCAGCCAGCATAAAAACAGTGATATATGGCAATGGCGGCCGACGCGGCGCAGCTGACGTGAAAATGATGCAAAGCAAAAAGATGAATGACGCGGTCGCGCAGCAGCGCAAGGGGCAAGCTGCACGGCAGCTGCTGAGCGACGCGCAGGCTGGGTTCCAAAACAACATGTGAGCGAAGCGTTTTTGATGGCGATGCGAGCGCATTCAAGCTAATATCAATAGGTTTCCCCCAGTATGCCTGCAGGAGGGCTTGCGTGTTCCGCTCGTCTATGCCTTGGCGGAGTGAAGTTAATTGCTAATCTTGTAATCACTGATCACGCGTTAGGCTTGTAGGCCTGGCGCATGTCGTCCTGGTTGTCCTCCCTCTCATAGAAGGCCTTGACCTGGTGATGTGGACGGGGGGTGGGGGGCAGCGCACGCGTAATCAGACACTGTAGTGGCTAATCTGTCTGGGAGGTCGTTGACGTGTGCACAGGTGACGCGCGCATGCTTGATCGCGCCGTCTTGCCCATGCACCGGCGCAGGCCGCGCGAACGGTGGAAGGCGTGCAGGCCGTTGCCTGCTTGTCGGGGGCACCCCTAGGACTGCATTGCCTGCAGGCACTCGGGTGCGCCTGACCTGTGGGACGCTGGCCACCCTGTTGCGGTGGGCCTGGAGGGCGGGGAAGCCGTCCAGAGCTGTCTTGGGCACGCCTGCAAAATCAAGGTGTGATTGTGATTTAGCTTGACGACGCACGGAAAGAGCGCGTCTCTCTGATCAGCCTGTCCCAACTGCATGCTTGTTCTTGCAATCGCCGTCTTGCAGTCAGGTCAAGCATCTTGCAGACTGTCAACCCCAGCTTCTAGGCCGCTTTCCTCCCTGTTTGTACCCACCGTCCATCCAGCCGCTGATGATGGTGCTCAGGGCGTGGAAGAGGTGGAGGTCGCCATAAGTAAGCTCAGGGCCAGCCACAAAGCCGTCGCCGGCCTTGGCCTGCGGGTGTTCCGGATGGGAGGGAAAGCAATGGTGACCGAGAAAGAGCGGTCTTCACATGCAACGCCATAGCAATCAACAAGTCAAGAAGGGGGCCGCAAAAGGAGAAATGTGCACAGCAGACTCCATACAACGGACACACATACACATACACACACAAACACACACACACACACACACACACACACATGCACGCACACAGGCACAGACACAGACACACACAATCACAAACACGTGTATGTCTGTGTGGTTCTCACCACCAGCGTCTCCGCGTAGCCCAGCTTCTCCTTGAGCGGCCCCGCCACCACAGCCTCGCGCGCCTTGATCCTCTCAGCCTCGTCCTGGGGTTGAGTAAAATACTTCATTTATGATTGCTTATGAGTACAGTGACTGGAGGGCGAAAAATTTTGCTCTTTGGACGAGGTGCTCAACGCCGCGGCTCGAGTGGTTTGGGGCTGAGAGCTGACGGGAGTTGAGAGCCATGCCGCGCGCATCGCCGCTGCACCTCAACAGCCAACGTGCAGTCAACCCCGCACGGCCCCAGTGCGCCGCTATCGGCCCACGGCAATCAACAGCTTCTGGCGGGGGGATTGCACAGTGCGCACCTTAACCTTGAAAGTGTCGAAGAGGGGTGTCAGGATGTCGATGCAGAGGTTGTCTGGGAGAGCATCAAGTAGATGGGTCGGGAGATCAGTAAGTCACTGCATTCAACCTTGGCAGCAATGGCAACGGCGACTGTGCCTCATGGCGGAAGGGGGGGGGGCAGCAGCGCACACCCCAGGATGGGCGCTACACGTCTGGCACGGGACGGACAGCCCGTGGAATCTTGGCTGCACGAGCGTGCGGCAGGCCCCTGCGCCACTCACAGGCCTGGTCTGCGAGTGCGGCCTGGAAGGCGTCCTTGGGCACCAGGCCGGCCTCCGCGGCCAGGTAGCGGTCTGGGGGTGGTGGAGGGGTGGGTGTTGGGACGCGGGGCCGCGGGTTTTAGGGGGCGCGCAGGAGAGTGCGGCGAGGGCCGCACACAAAGGTTGGGTGATGGGTGCGATGGTGGCAGGGGCCAAAGCGTGGCAGGCATCGGGACCGCCCGGATTGGTGCGAACACGGGCTTGAATGCGATACACTGTCACGCGGTGAGGGTTGCGGCGGCGTTGGGGTGCTGCCAGGCTTGGGGCGGCGCGGTGCGGGCGCTCTTGATGGCAGGTGTGGTGGCCAACCTGCCTCTCGGGATCAAGACCGCGCACGCGCAATGCAAGCCACGGCCCTCAACGCCACGCACCGATGGCGGCGCTCTGAGCCAAGAATGTGCCGTCCACCTCCAGGAACGGGCACTGGCCGAAGGGCGCGATGGCCTTGTACTTGGGCCACTGGTCAAACGGAAAGCGGACCTCCTAACGGGGCCGTCGCGGGAGTCAAGGGTTTTGGGGGCGTTTCGTGGGTGAGGGGCACCGGCGCTGGTGAGGTCGTCTGTCAAATCCCGAGCTTGCTGATAATCAGCAACGGCAACCAGAAGGGCGCAGATGTCATCATCAACAGAGCTTGTGGGCAGCCGCCGGGAAGCCGCCGGCCCACGCTGAGGGGCGGGCGGGTGGAGCTGGAGGCAAACGCAGGGAGCCGATGCAGTGATCCCAGGATATGCTGTGAGCGCGCCCCCTCACCTCGAGCTCAAGGCCGCCGACGGCGCAGCACAGGCGCGCCACCTCGCCCCTGCCTGGGGATTCAGGCAAAGCGGCGGCGGCCGAGGTTGGCGCGAGCGCAAGCGCGCGGTACGGGCGGGGCCACCGCAAGTGCCTCCTGCAAATCCACCTCGCCGCTGGGCTGTGAGTGGCGATGGTTGCAATGTTGCACCCGCTTTGCATTGCTCACCCGGCAGAGGGAAGTAGTAGAGCTTGTAAGACGGCATGGTGGTGGGTGGAGCAGCGGCCTGCGACGCGTGGGTGAGGAATGGGTGAGGGGTCGTTCATTGTGGGTGTCACTTGGCGGGTAGGCGGGGGCCGTGCACGTGCATTCGCGCGAGTGCATGCTGATCCGGCCATACATTCAAGATTAATGGTGGGGGCAACCACACACCTGCCCGGTGGCGGCAGCCACCTGACGTGCGCCCCGCGGGCTGCGCACGGCTCGCGCCCCGCCCAGCGCGCTGGGGCTTGCATGCAGTGACCGCTGGGCACTGAAGGATTTGCACATCTTGTGAGATCTGATCGCGGGTTTGGGCACTCACAATGGGCGTGGGCGATCAGCGCGAAGTTGGAAAATGTGATCTGCAGAGACGTAACCGGCTTCCCAATTGATTGTCCGAAATCAAAACAACCGTTACATTTATACCCACGGCAGCCGAGCGGATCAAGGTCAACTTGGTTCCTTGACAAAGTGGTGATGAACCAGCCAGCCCGCTCCAGAAGATCCCTGATGAATGATGCTTTGCTGAAAGGCGTAAACACAAACTCTGATCGCATATGACACCGATATGTCCATCGTCCCCATCCATAACAGGTCGCTGTTGGGTGCGGCATGCGCATGCTAAACTGTACCAGCAAGCAACCCTAGGTCCCCCCGCGAATTGGCTGCTTCAGCCGGCTGCCGGCTGCCGGCTGTCATGCCTGTGCATTATGGCTGCTGCTGTTGCTGCTGCTGCGATTGCTGTGATTGCTGCAGCTGCTGACAGCGGGACCAAACGGGGGCTGGTCAGGCGAACATACAGTACGAACAGTACGACAAGTACTAAGGGCCGCAAGACCCAATCCATCCTTTCTCAACCCCAGTGACACACGTCCCAACATCTGGTTGCCTTTGTCCTGTGAGGCTCGACCCATGGATTTGCATGCGTCGGCTGACAGCCTCATGTGCGGGCGCGCCCGCACTCACACCCGCAACCTTGTTGCCCACAGCCAATCGAACACGCGTGCTGTTCAGCTCGCAGGCACACGCTTGCTCTTCAGCTCATAGGGCGCCATACAGTAGTCTGTCAAAGCATTGGGTCTCTCCAGCTTACCGCAAAGAGGGGCGCATGCTGCGGCGCGACACTCCCTGGCACTCACGTTGTGTTTGATGGCTGCTCGGCTTGCCCAGTGCTAATGCTCGGTCGCGCTACCCGCTTGCACCACCCGTTCGCTGCTGGATGCTCAGACGATGTCGGAACTAGCTTCCTATGTTGAGGGTGCCTTCCTGCTCATAGACAGCACAGTTGGTACGCGGCTCTGTGTTGGCCCTGGCCCTGATCTGCAGGTCAGGCGGGCCCTGGTCGTTCCCACATCAGTCAAGCACGCATTGTGCACCTTTCTGCACCTTCTGGACAGTGATTCAAAACAAGGAAAGTCTCGTATTCCTGACATAATCATCATGTGGTGCCGTACACATCAAGGCGAGTACTCAACTTCAGCGCATCCGCTGCGGTTGTCATGTGACGCCTGCCACATCAGCATTGCCGCTGATGCCCACGAACCCGGTGGACTGTGGTACCGTAGCACAGTCGCTTTGCACCAAAAGTAACCTCTGGCATGGTTTTCATTATCGAGTGCAGCGCCATACGCACGCTGGGATTTGGAACGGCCTCAAACTTGTGCTCGGCGGTTCAGGACGAGGTTGCAACGCGCCAACTGTTTTTTTTTGCAATAGATTATCAGCAGCCAACAAGCCTCGTCGGGCTCTGCTGATCATCACGATCACCTTGAAGCTGCAGGCACGCGGAAGGCACTCTCAGCATCTGCAGCCGGCGCCTCGAGCTGTGCCGTTTACAGCCATGGCACACGCAGATTCGCGCACGCTAGCGCTGCAGGAGCGCAGCACAGCACTTGTCGCAATCCATGGCTCCGACCCGCGCGCCGACATTGTGGCGGAGCGCAACCGCGCGTCGTTCGACGCCACCCAGCTGCTGCACCTCCTTAACGGCGGCAAGGAAAAGGTGGAGCGCAGGTGCGAGTGTTCACGTGCAGCGGCCTGCTTGCATACTCTTGGCGGACGACGCCATCGCCCAAGCAGGGCCGGTGCCGATGTGCACGCTCGGCCGTCCGCCGCGCAGTTCGACCCGCCAGCCGCTCGCATGCGCAGCACTGTCCGCCCGCGGCGAACACAGCAGCCACAACTCAGAAGCGAGCTGTGCAGAGAGTCCCATGCGCAGCTGCATGCGCAGCCGCATGCGCAGCCGCATGCGAAGCCGACAGCACGGCACAATCCAACCCCCTGCGCTCAATCCGTGTGCGCCCTCCCATCCACGTGCCCTCCATGCCCAGGGCCGAGTTGGCCCGCCAGGTGGCGGCAACCCCTTGGGGCGACAAGAAAAACCGGTGCGGCCACCGGGCGCCCGCGACCGCCCCCTTCAACGCGCCTCTCCACGTCCCTGTTAAAAGCGCTGCCGCGCCCGCCCGAGCCCACCCATCTGCCCGCATGACCGCCCGCCCCCGCCCCCGCCCCCGCTCGGCAGCCACTTCCTGAGCCGCGAGGAGGAGTACGTGGGCGGCCTGCGCGCCGCGCTCGGGATCTGGGCCAAGATCCAGGACGAGAAGCTGCCCCTGGAGGACGGCCTGATGATGCGGCAGCTGGTCGACTGGCCGGGCGGCCTGGAGCTGCACATTGGGGTGGGCGGGCTGTCACCACCGTGACTGCCATGGGGTCTGGGTTGATGCGGGGTCGCATGTTGAGCCTGGCAGGCCGGGCGCACGGCTTGGGCACGGCGTGAGTTGCGGCAGCATAACGGCCCGGCCGCGGCCACGGGCGCTGCAGCTGGCGCGCCGGCAAATGGTGCCCTGCGGGCTTGCTGCCGCTGGAGTGCAGCTCAGGGGCGGTACACGGGCCCCACGCGCGTGGGAGTGCAGCTGGCGGGCTGCTGGTGCAGCTGCCGGGTCGCACGAGTTGGCGGCGAGCCGTTGAGGCGCGGCGCTCCCCCAAGCACGCCGCCCTGCGGTACCGCGGTTGGGCGCAACCGAACTGGCCGCGTCCCCTTTCATGCTGCGCTTCGACGCGCGTCCTGCGCCCTCCTCTCACCCCCTCGGCCCCCCC